GGCCGGGCCGGGCCGGGCAGAGGGCGGCCGTGAGCCGGAAGGAAGCCGGGTGTCAGGATAACCCGACGCAGCGGTATCCGCGAGCCGAACGACAAGACGGCGTACCGACAACAGCGCCGATAAAGCGAAAATACAGAAGACGGCCAGGAGGCGAAACCCAAGGCGATTCTACAGAGAGACAGAGGGGCGTAGGGGTAGGAGAGCAGAGGGGAGGGGAGGGGAGGGGATGGGGAGGGAAGGAGGGGGTCCCAGACGGATCATCGCATGTGTAACATATGTTTACATCGCCGGGTATGTGTCTCTGAGGGCCCCAAAGCGAGGATATGGGGGTACTGGACGAGGGAGCTCGGAGTGCGTATGTGTGTGTGTGTGCGTGTTGGTGTGTGTGCGAGACAGAGAGAGGGGGGGGAGTGTGTGTCCATAAGGCGGCCGCGAGGGACGGGGAGGAAGGGGAAGGGGTGGCTCGCGAGGGAGCGGTGGCGTCTGCTGCAGTAGCGGCGATACGAGGGGTAAGCGAGACAGGGACGGGTGGAGTGGGGGGAGGGAGCGAAAGAGAGAGAGAGAGAGAGAGTCGCCTCTGGAGTGGCAAGTGAGTGTGAGAGAGAGAGGGGCGGAGGGGAGGGACCGGGATAAACATAGAGCACACTGCCGCCACCGCGGCAGGAGGGAGGGGAGGGGGTGGCGCGGAGAGGGGAGGGGAGTTGACTGCGCGCTGCGCTGTGCCGACGGGACGGCTCGCACCCTCCTCCCCGCCACCCCCCTTCCTCCCCCTCAACCTCCTGCCCCTGCCCTGCCCTGTCCCGGTTCAGTCGCAGTCGGGTTGTAAGGCAGGACACACAGGCAGCGGAGTAAGCGAAGAGGAGGACCGGCAGGAACGACAGACCTCCCCGTCAGAGGAGGCCGAGTGACAGGAGGACACCTCGCCGTCGTCAAGAGGGTGAGTAGGCCTTCCTAAGCCGTCGCGGGGAGCGTGTGTCCATGGGCCAGGCGGGCGGCGGTCGCGGGGCCTTGCGCCGGTCGACAGCTGTCAAATCGCAGCCTGCAGAGGGGCGTCGCGTCGTCGGCCAGGGTCGGGGCTGCCCGAAGCCGCCGGTGCGGTGCTGGACTCGTTGAGGAGGCCCAGCTGTCGTTTGGTGCCGACCAGCTTTCAGCACCGGGCGTCCTCAGCTTGATGTGTGGCGCATTGCAGGCGGGCAGGGGTAGTTAGGGTAGCTAACCTCTCCGGGGTGTCTGGGTCGATATGCCCTCCCTGTCTTCGTTTCCAAGTGGATGTGACTCGCCCAGGCCGTGTCCCATTGTCCTCAGTGGCCAGCTCCGCACAGCTAGCCGGCCCAATATCGGAATGATGTGGGTAAATGTTCGGGTATAATGCGCTACTTTTCAAGGGGATGGTCCGGGAAGGACCCGGCGCCATTTTGATCCGAAGGGGTGCGGATAACTGGGCCAGGTCGCGACGGCCACACCCCCGGGCCGGCCAAGAGCTGGACACGGTTCAACGAGTAGTCGTGTTCAGCCCAATCAGTTAAAAAGTTGATCCCCTTCACACTTTTGTAAGCGTTCATAACCGGGATGACTAAAATAATTCATTGAGAGAAGGGGCACCTAGAAATTTTTCATGTTTAGCTCGAGCGTAAATGGGATAGTGCCAGACGTGCCGTGGTGACTCCTGACAGATGCAGAGTGTCGCTGCCGATGGAAACCAGACACGTGAGGTTACTTTTTTTCTTTTTTTCTCTAATGCTTTTCATGCACACACACACACACACGCACACACGTCTGCCTACCCTATCGACTCGCCCCCTGCTGCTGCTCCAGCTCCCCCTCCCCGCCGCCCGCGCCGTTGGTTGGGCTCTGCTGCCACAGAGGGCAGCACGTGACCGTGCCAGCTGATCGCTGCGGCCATACCTCGGCCCGGCCCGCGCGGCGATACCCCGCGCTGCCGCCGGGGAAGCCCACTTCATTCATTCAGTCATTCATTCGTATGAGCACCTTACCCCACTCGGCGGAACCATAACAAAGCAGAAGCCTCTAGTCGCAAAAATATCTCAAACGCCCTCATTTTGATGTTGTTTTTGATGAAACTTGTGTGGTAGGGTGCTATTTTTTCACACCGAAGATGATAGGACTACTCAATTTAACCGAAACGCACGAGAAATTTTGCATGTTATGGTTCCCGCTACGCGCTGCCACCGCGCCGCCACCGCACCACCGAATGGGGTAAGGAGCTCATTCCTGCATCCGTTCAATAATCCGTCCTCTGTCCCGCAGGTCGCCGCCATGGGTACCATGGGCCCGGTGCTGGCCGCGTGTCCGCCCTCGGTCGGCCCCGCGGACGCGCTGCTGCAGGGCTACCGCCACTGCCTGCGCGAGGCGCTGCGCCACCTGGTGGAGCACGAGAACACGCCGACGGCGGACCCGCGCGTGCTCGCGCTCACCACGCACCTGGCCCGGAGGCAGGCCGCGCTCGAGCTGGACGAGGAGCTGCGGCGGCGGCAGCTCGAGCAGTTAGAGCAGCAGCACCTGCGCCGCCGGCTCCTAGACCACTACTTCCGGGGCGTCGACCTGCACTGCATGGCCTCCCCCGGCGCGAGGTAGTGCTCCGGACGCGCCTACCGCGGCGGGACCAACGCGGTGGCGCCCGGCGAGGGCCGAGGGCAGGGCGGGCGCCTCGGCCAGCGCGCCACCGGACCCAAGTGTGTCTGTGATGGAGTGAGAGAGGAGGAGAGGAGGAGTGAGTGTCTGTGGTCGGGGAGATGCAATAAGTGAGAGTCACAAGTCGTGTCAGGTGCCAAAGCGGACCGGTGATGTGATTTCATTTGGGGTTTAATGCGTGACGCTGTGATAAAATGCAGATGCTACATTCAATTAACCATCATTCAATCCTTTCAGCATTTAAATGTAAAACTTAATTTTAAGCGCAAAACGTCAGAACAGGTTTGCAAACGTTTTTTATTTTGTGATCTGCAAAAATATGGTCGACAGACGCTTACTATTATTGCCCATGAGATGTTAAAAAAGGCAGGAGAAATATTTGCCTGTTTACTATGAAGCATGCAGGGGACCTTGACCATAACTTTCGTCTAGTGCTTGCTTAATTGAATGTAGCTAGAGCGTTGGGAGGGGGAGGGTGGGAACAATGGGCGTTCTTTCTTGCTGTCCTCGACGTCAGAAGATGAGCGAGGAATGGACAGTGTAAGTTATGCTCTTGCAGCAGTACAAGGCTTACCAAGAGCGTTTTGTGATCGTGGGTTGCTCGCAAGTCTGCAAAGGAGCTTCTACTGTCATGTACATAGATTATCATTATATATACTACATATTATAGGTCTATCGATAAATATTTCTCCCTGCATATTTTATAGCGGGAATGAGTATGTACATTGTGCAATATTGTGTTCCAGCAGATGCCAAAAATAGCTACTGAGATACCATTTCCGCATTCTCTGCCATGTTTTACAATGATTCAGTTGCCGGGAGCGTCAGTGAATAATCTGCCGAGCTTTTGGAACATCGCGAAACCGCCGAGACTTAAGCCTTATCATTCGTGCCTTGATGTAAACTTTATTAGGAAGTTGCACCACTCCGACCAGGCCGCGCAGGGTCCGGGCGGCCAGTCACTCTGCACGTCGGAGTGGTGCACCAGTACTTGCTCATTTTAATCGTCTTAAATCATTAGCCGTTAGTTCTCAGACCAACTAAAATCAGCAAACATTTTATACTCTACAAAGAAAGGGGTGGGCGAGCCACGCCTGCCCGAATGCAAGTCAATCTTATCCGCTCGCCCACCCTCCTATATGATTATAAACGCCTTCGTCTGATGTCAGTGCCTTTGAAGTGGTCGTTTCGTTCACCACTTTTTAAAGACTTAACGCCCTCCTCCTCCTTCAAAAAAATATCCCCCTCGTTTCCACCTAAAGGGACTGCGGTCGTTGTGTCCGCAGTCCGAATTCTGAATCGAGCCGCGTTCTCCGCGCGAGAACATGGCTGCGATCCCTCTCCTCTCCCCTTCCCTTACATATGGTATTCAAGGTTCGTGCCTTTCCAGAGTACTGTCACTCATTCACCCTCGTCAAAGAGAGTGCCTTTTAGCGACCGGGCCGGCCGGCCGCCACAGCCACAGCCACACTTATTTTATAGACGCAGTAGGTTCGGTAGGAAAGGATTGCCCTTTTTGCGCCACGAAGAGAAGTTTTGTTTTGTTTTACTCCTGATACATAATCCAGAGAGCTCACTAACTAATTATAGTCGCGATAGGCAAGGGGCGTGTGCCGCCATTAGCGATGGTTTCTAGACTAGCCGTCAAAGTAAATGTCGTCATATCATTTTACTCTCCAGTGCCTTAAGTCCAGCCGAAAGGGCCGAACGGACACTTCATTCTTGATAAGCTTTATCTAAAGAGAAAAAAAAATGGAAGCTCAAATTTGGTTGAGATTTATATCAACAATAACATGGTATAACTTTGAGTCTCATTCGTTTGCGCGGCCGTCCAAAAGCAAGGCAGATTTGTTTACAACACAGTAGGACAGGACATATGGACAATTCATGGACAATTTTCTGATAACGAGAACACCTTATTATTTGTTCAAAAGCTTACTTATACTCGGGCTCTATTCTTTGCATTCTGACTGGACACTCTTTTGTTGCTGTATGTTGTTAAGTGCGTGTTTTCGTTTATTATAAAGTTTAATCATCAATTCATCTAAAGTTAAAGAATGCATAATATATCGCACCGGACAAATCTTTCCCTGTAATGAATTTTAGTGTAGTGTTGTATGGTCTGTAGAGGGAAATTGTTGAAATTTTGCATTTAACCAAAGACTTTTTTTTCTTTTCGATATCAAGTGTTTTCAAAGAATTTCGTTGTACTGCCATCTTGTGAGAAAAGGAAAGAATTTTGTTTCATTTGATACCAAACCCGTACTGAAAAGGTAACCAGGTGACTGTCAATTAATCTAGTCAAGAGTCAAGACCTTAGGAATCTGAACCCATCTAGTCATTATCATGCCAGCTTGATCATGGCAACAATTTTTATTGTATCAACAAATTGTATTATAATATAGAGTTCCAAAATGTTTAAATAAATCATGTCAGAAACATACTTGAAGACGTTTTATACAATCCTTCCTTCACCACAACTTCAAATATTTTTAAAAAGTATTTTTCAAAAATATACAGTTGGTATAGAGGAGAGCGGGGGGGGGGAAAACATTGCTCGGCCCTGTGCTGCTGCAATCGAAAGTGTCAATAATAAAAATAAAAATAATCTCAGGGGGTGATGGGGACTATCAGAGGTGGATGAAATGACGAGCCATCTATAGCGCGCGTCTTCCTGGTCCCTTTTTATACCTGGCCGAACGGAAAGGCGGAAGAGCCAAAAAAGGACGAGGGTGCGAAAGTTCAACACACACCGGCGAGCTAACGAGGGGCTAAAGTGACGACAGCAACCCTATTCCCTGACCGTAAGTAGCCTATCGTTATAACGGGATTCCAATGGAGAGGAGCAAGGTAAGATGTGCGAGGTAAAGGTGTGAGAGGCGAGGTGGGATTGCGGCGGGAGGACGGGCAAGGGCTGGAAATTGAGGCGACCGCGTTCCCAAAATTGGCTTTAATAATCAGGTCTTCGAATCAAAATAACCTTCGCCCCCTCTGGAATTTTCGGAGTTTGTACTCGCCCTCTACACGTCTCTCGGGAAGGGTGGAGGATGGGTTCAAGGACCTTGCCTCACACACGCGCGCACGCTCTCACACACAGGCACCCGTACATGTGTTGGTAGCGAGGGGCTTATACGGCACCCGGAAGCGCCCGGCCCGTGCGCCCACGGGGCCCACAGCCGCATCCCCCGTGCGCCCGCCCCGCCCCGCCCCGTCGTAGGCCGGATGTGGGCTGCATGTATATTTACTTTCTGCAACACCACTTCTTGCTCGCCTCGCTCCCCCGCGCTTCCGCCGAGAGGGCCTCGTGGACCCCGTGGACCCGCCGCGGACAAACCCGCCCCGCGGCTCTGCTGCTTATCGCGGATGGGGTGGGCAAGCACCCCGTCGTCAGCGTCCTGCTTCCTCTCGCCGACGACAACTTGTCCTCCCCGGCGGCCGGCCGGTGCAGTGGTGCAGAGGGGTGGACGAGGAGGCCGCGCAGGTCCTGGAGTCCT